AGGAGTAGTGAGGTTAGGAAAAAGGACAAAAAGGACTTGGTGTGTGACTATTGCAAGAAGACTAAGCATACCAAAGACACCTGTTGGAAGCTTTACCCTCATCTCGTACCAGCTCGTATCAAGAACAAGAAGGGAAATGCAAATGTGGCACTTACAGAAGACCCTTCAGGACCCCTCTCCTAGACTGATCTGGAGTCCATTACAACAGCAACAGTGAGGACTGAATTTGAAAAGGATTTAGCCAGTTCTAGTTCTTCACATGGCCAGAACAGTGCAACAGCCAACCATACTCCTTCCTTTGCTCATACAAGTAGTTCATATGCAATTACAAATCATGTATCCACCTCAAGTAAGGAGGGACCTCCCTGGATTATAGACATAGGAGCATTTGAGCACATGACTAATATATTTACCCTCTTTAGTTCTTACCAATTGTGCTCTGGTAGAGATAGATTCTCTACAGTAGATGGTTCCCATATTCCCATTGTTGGGAAAGGGGCAATTAGAGTGACTAATGACATTACTTTATCCTCTGTCTTACATGTCCCTAAACTCCACACTAATCTTCTTTCAGTAAGCTCTCTAATAAAAAAATTGAACTGTTCAATGACCTTTCTTCCTGGTAATTGTGTTTTCCAAGATCTGGAATAAAAGAGGATGACCGGGAGTGGTCGTGAGGTGAATGGAACCTACCTTTTGGATGAGATTCCGAAACATTAGGGACATCATGTTAGTAGCAGTAGTAGTAGTGGATCAGAGTCAGTGAGTCAAACTATGCTCTGGCATAATCGTTTAGGTCATCTTTCTTTCATTTCATTGAGGTTTTTGTTTCCAAAGTTATTTGAAATGTGAAAGCTGTCAATTGGAAAAGCATTGTAGACATCCTTTTAAACCAAGTAATAAAAGAAGTTCCTTTGCTTTTGATATTGTTCATACTAATGTATGGGGTCCATACCACATTTCTTCCATGGGTGGTTACCGTTATTTTATCTTGTTTGTGGATGATCATACACGGTATTCTTGGATATATCTGATGAATCATGTGATGAAGTACCCATTTTGATGCGACAGTTCTACCAGATGGTTCTCACACAATTTGGAGTGAGGACTAAAGTCTTCAAATCAGATAATGCTAGAGAATACTTTGAGAATGACTTGTCTTCATACTTTTTGGAGCATGATGTGATTCATCAGAGTAGTTGTACATACACATCGCAACAAAATGGGGTAGGAAAGAGGAAGAATAGACATTGTGGTGGTGGTAAGGAAAGGAGCCATATGGTGTGTGCCTCAGTTCCTATTCGTTTTTTTTTTGGGGGGGGGGGATGCAGTTCTCACTGTCGTGTATTTGATTAACCGTGTTCCTTCACGCACTTTGGGGTTTAAGGTACCGTTTACTTTGCTTTTTCCAGATGGGGAGATATTTCATATACCTTTGAGAGTCTTTGGGAGTGTCTCCTTTGATCACATTCTTGGTCCTCACAGTGTTTTAAAAGCGCAAGGCGAGGCGCGCATCTTTTTAAGAAAGGCGCAAAGCTACAAAAAAAATAAAAGCTAAAAAATAAAAAAAATTCAAAAAATGCCAAAAAATTTAAAAAATGGAAAAAATATTAAACATAATGTTAATAAAAAATATAAATATAAATTTTAAAATAAATCATAAATGTTTTAAAAAACCAATTATCTAAAATTAAAATACATAAAAAATAACATGTAAAGTGTATTCAAATGAAAATTTAAAAATAAAAGCAAACATATAAAGCATTTTCAAGCATGTAAAACCCACAATCTCTTTTTTTCCTTAATCACATCGCTTCAAGTAGCTAATGTAATGTAAAACATATTGCACTCTTGATTCTATGAGTCGCCTTTGTACCATGCCCCTCGAGGCAAGCTCGAACAAGTCTATGTTAGGGTTTGAAATTCTTATTTCTCACATGAAAAATAAGAATTTCAAACCCTAACATTAGGGGTGTTCACGGGTCGGGTTGGGTCGGTTTATTGGGGTTTTCCCAACCGACCTGACATGGTCGGGTTACCTGAGGTGGAAACCGAAACCGACCCACTGATAGGCCAAACCGACCTGGTCGGTTTGAGTCGGGTTGGGTCGGTTTCGGTTTTGCTCATGTACAAAAGGACACCTAATTGAATTCTAATTGTAATTGCCTAATGGGTTGCCTATTTGGTGTAAAAGATTATAGAAAGTTAGAAACTAGGATTAATTGCCTATTCTAATTGTAATTGCCTAATGGGCCTTCTAGTTCTAGTAGAAGACTAGTTATAGTTAAGTAGGAAACTACTCAAACTAGGAACTACCGAACTAGTAGAAGACTAGTTCGATTCGGGTCGGGTTGGTTTCGGTTTTCACACAAGAAAACTGGAACCGACCCGATATATTGGTTTATATATTTGCCCAACCTGAAACCGACCGGTACTGATGAAAACCCGGCCGACTCGGGTTGGGTCGGTCCGGGTTGGTCGGTTTGGTCGGGTTGGGCATTCTTATGAACAACCCTACCTAGCATAGATTTGTTCGGGCTTGCCTCGAGGGACGTGGTCAGGGGTATGGGGGCGGAGCCCCTGGCCTAGCTGTTAGACTCAAAAAAAGGCAAAAAGCACAAAATTTTAAAAAGGTGCACGCATGGGCTGAGGCGCAAGGTGCACTAGGTTTGCGCCTTTTGAAAGGGGTGCGCCTAGGACCTGGGCAAGGTGCATACCCCAAAGTGTGCCTTACCTGTGCACCTAGGTGTGCCTCAAGCGCGCCTTTTAAATCAATGGTTCTCATCGCAAGAAACTGGATCCTAAAGCCAAGAAATGTGTTTTCCTTTGATATGCTCAAAACCAAAAGGTGTATTGTTGTTATGATCCAATGTCGGGGAGCAAGTTTGTCACTATAGATGTTACCTTTTTTGAGTTTTTCTTGGGTGGTTCTCCTCAGGGGGAGTGTTTTGGGGAGGAGAACTCACAACCTATACCTCTTTCGGTGTCATTTATTCCTTCATTTGATCCAACTATTCCACCCTCAGTAGCTACAGTCCCACTGCCTAATCCACTACGGCTAGCTCCACAGGTCTATCAGCGCCACCGGAAGAGGGTTGACTCCACACATGCTTAGATAAAAGAACCTGCACCACTCTCCATCAGTCCATTTGAGATCCTAGGTTCGGCCGATATAGTTCTAGGTATTTCCCTTGAGCCTGAGCCTGTTATTTCCCCTGATAGTGATGTTTTTGTACCTAACACTATTGTGGCAGCTGATCCCACTGATCTTGATCTTCCCATTTCAGATCCCAGGTTCGACTGGTACAACCCATTGCATTTCACACCATCTCTCCTATAGTGCCTTATCATCCTCCTACAGTGCTTTCCTTTCTTCCTTAGATTATGTGTCTATACCTAGGAATGTTAGTGAAGCTTTCTCCAAACCTGAGTGGAAGCTAGCTATTCAAGAAGAAATGGAAGCCTTGGTTAAGAATCAAACATGAGAAATAGTTGATCTTCCTACAGACAAAGATATAGCCGGATGCAGATGGGTGTTCACTGTGAAGTACAGGGCCAATGACAGCATAAAGAGGTACAATGCAAGGTTGGTTTCAAAAGGGTATACACAGGCCTATGGTATTGATTACTTGGAAACTTGCACCAGTTGCTAAGATGAGCTCAGTTCGGATTCCCTTGTCCCTAGCAGCTATGTATTCATGGCCTCTATTCCAGCTTGATGTTACAAATGTTTTCCTTAATGGTGATCTTCAAGAGGAGGTATATATTCCAGCTTGATGTTACAAATGTTTTCCTTAATGTTTTCCTTACAAATGTTCAGCACTAGGAAGCCATTGAGGGGATAGTTGCATACCTAAAGAAGCATCCTAGCAGAGGGATTCTTTTCTTAGACCATGAAAATTTAAAGCTAGAATCCTACACAGATGCAGATTGGGCAGGTTGCTTAGATGATAGGAGATCTACATTAGGGGTATGAACCTTTATGGGAGGAAACTTGGTCTTATGGAAGAGTAAAAAACAGTCAGTTGTGGCTAAATCAAGTGCAGAGGATGAATATAGATCTATCGCTCATGGTGTTTCAGAACTACTTTAGGTGAGATCTCTACTGAGTGAGATTGGAATAAAAGCTAAGGAGCCCATGATGTTATATTGTGACAACCAAGCTTAATCAATATTGCCCACAGTCCAATTCAGCATGACAGGGCTAAACACATTGAGGTTGATAGGCACTTCATAAGAGAAAGGGTGACAACTAGAAAAGTCTGCTTGCCTTATGTCTCCTCTAAACTACAATTAGCCAATGTCTTCACCAAAGGTGTTGCAAAGAACAAGCTTGAATACAACCTACACAAGTTGGGAATGTGTGACATTTACTCCCAACTCGAGGGGGTGTGTTGAGGTTTTAGACAAATTGTGTAGTCTATAGTGGTAGTTTTTTATTATTTACCATTTAGGTTGGAAGTGGGGACCACAACACTCTTGTCGGGTCCTTTTTGAGCAGTTATTTTAATTGCTCTCTTTTTTTCTCTTAAATCTCTTCTCTTCCTTTTCTCCTTTCATTTCTTCTTCTACAAGAAATATTCTTTTCTTTTACAGATTTTTTATATTACCTATATATTATAAATGAATATATATGCATTATATATACAAATATACATATTTATAGTATAATATTTATTATTTATAACATAATATTTTATATGTATTTCTAGTTTTTTATTTATATATTTATATATTTTATAAAAAAAAATAAACAAAAATCCGACGAATCAAATCGGTCAACCAATTAACCAATTGGCTTCAGTTCGGTTTCAGTTACCGGTTTACTAGAAACCAGTACTACCAGTTTGGTTTGGAAATTAGGCCTATGGTTCAGTTAACCGAACTGTGAGCACCCCCAGTTGTACATCTACTTGCAACAGATGAAAGTATAAAGCTAAAATGCACATCTTCATTTCGGCAAGCACTAACTCTTGGTAATTGGTAAAGCAAGACTCAACCTTACGATGTCATCACCAATCTCTGGAGTAATGCTAATGCTTCGCCGCCTCATTCTACGAGCTTGGAATGTTGATGCATCATCTGACCTGTAATGACATTTTCAAATTTTCATCAATTGAAAGCTGCATTTCAACATGTAATGTCTTAAAACATTGTAGATTTAAATGAATGAATGTAGACTAGCATGTAAAAGGAAACAAAGAGACTGCTCAAAACAAGATTAAATAATTCTTCACAAAATGTTGGTAATATCAGTAGGGGTGCAAGTCAGACAACCAATTAAAGAATTTACATTGCAGTGGACCCAGTCACCCAGGTCCTTGGGCCGGGCCCGCTCAAATTTTAACAAAGGTTCAACCTAAGCCTGCCCAAGTTGCACCCCTATATGTCAGTATTAAATCATACCCTGAATCCTTGTAAAATGGCTCCAACTCTTCTATCTCAAATTCAAAGAGGTTAGTGACATGAAGCATTTAGAATGTTGACTATAATTGGTCTATCCTATATGAACCTGCCATACCAGACTGCAGAGTACCATAAATGGCCAGTGTGAAACATTATACCAACTACAACATGACTGACTACTTTATATTGATACAGAGGCAATTTGAGACCAACATACAAAGCAGACATTGCAGTTCCTTAATCCTTACTGTGATCCAAAGCCAAACAAACAGGAAGCAAACACCTTTTCTTCTAGGAATAACATATTTTACCAAGAAAAGAGGGGGGAATAAAAGAACTGATCCAGATAGCCCAACACCCAAAAGGACAAAGACCTAAAACCAAGAATAAAAGAATTCAACATGGAATCATGGAAATAGGAAGAAAAACTTGAGTACATCCTAATATAACTGCCATTAGATCCTTCATGCCAACATGTCAACGATGGAGTTGGCAGACTACCACTCAATAAAGACCTAAAACCAAGAAGGAATAAAAGAAAGATAGAGAAACTTATCTGGTATACCATAATACAAGTGTTACCTAGAAACCTGACTCCAAGACAACCCATCAACAACAGTGTAAGAAGACCTAGGCACTCGCAAGAATGGGATGTGCTCAAGAAAGAAGTGAAGAACGCCTCCATGTATGAGTGCAATAATCACTATGGACATCTAGAATTGCTGCTATGCTAACCAACTACCAATTTCAGATTCCCAGAACAGTCTACTAAGCTAACAAGAGGAAAATCTGAGACCTAGAAAGAAAGATAAGCAATTAAATACAGCTGAGTCCCACAGTTCGTCAGAAACAGGGATGCAGAATACTGTAATAGAGGTGTTAGAGAATATCAACCTATTCAAGAACCTCACCTAACAGCTTAAGCTTTTAGGTTGAATGGTTCTTTGAGATGGTATCAGAGCCATTTTGACCAAGTGGTCTAGTGTTCGATCCTTGTTACCCCCATTATAATTAAATAAGTTTCAGCACAAGGTATAGGTGGGCCTATGCTTGTTCACGCTGCCCAATGGGCTTTCGTGTGAGGGGGTGTGTTAGAGAATATCAACCTATTCAAGGACCTCACCTCACCTAACAGCTTAAGCTTTTAGGTTGAATGGTTATTTGAGAAGAGGAAAGATCCAAAGTTCCATACTATATCTGAAGGGAAGTATATCTTCAAATAGGATAACAATCATGACTAACCAAAGCATAGGGATGCCTGTAAAATAACAAAAATAACCCAATAAATACTCTGATAGTGAACCAATCACTATGTATATCCCAATGTAAAAGATAACGGACCTCCAATATTTAGGAACTTTGCATTTTTTTTTTTCTTTTTAAGCCTTTACATTAGCTTATTTTAAGACAAAAACAGCTTATCACACATTTGGTAAAAGAATAAGCTCAATAGGCTTTTTATCATATTGGTGAGAAGAAGTTGTTTTTCTGGAAAAAGCTTAAGGAATTAAAAACTCCAAGGGTTTAATGGGAATGCAACAGTAAAAAGACATGCTTCATTGAAACTTAAATAAAATACAATAATTATCCATAGTACCTCTTAAAATCTGTTACAAAATATTTCAAACATAGTTGTCAATAGGCGACTAGGCACTTTTTACTGCTCGCCTCACCTAAACGCTTATCAATTTTATATCAAACATTACACTATATTACAATATTTTTATATTTAGATCTCATAATATCAACATAGGCCATGCTACACCGTAACATTGTTTTTATTACTTCATAAATCAATATGTAATTCTTAGTATTTTATATTAGGGTTTGAATGACACAGAATTCATTACCAAAAAAAGCAATAAACTTAAGTTCAGTGAAGTTCAAAGACTTTGGAGATTTTTGAAGTGATAAAGAACTAAAGTTCAAAGACTTCAAAGGCTTAAAAGAGTGAAGACTAAAAGCAACAAGTAACATAGTCGAACACAGGTATGTTTGACTTCTTCCCTCCTCCTCGATCAGCACCTTCTTTTTGTGGGATGAGAAATAACTCAAATTTCTGATTCTTTTCCCTTCGTTTTTTGGAACAAAAACAGGGGTTCCACTCCTTATAATTTCTGTTCTTCATTTGATTTTTTTTCTCTGTTTTTTGAGATGGTCATCATTTTCAAATTTTTTTCTTGCATTTTTTTTTAAAACAATAACAGGGGCTTCACCCCTTCTCCATATTGTTTATCGTTTTTTCTCTCTCTCTTTTCTGAGACAAAAAACAGGGGTTCGGGGTTCGCCCTTTCTTCTCCTTATTTGTTGATTTTTTTCTTCTTTTTCTATGAAAAAAACAGAGAATCCCTTCTTTTACTAGGCAATGGTTATTTCTAAGACACTATCCTTGAAACAGTATGAAGTAAATGGTTATTTCTGAGATATTACAGAAGAAAAGGTTTATTTTTGAGACACAGGCCTGGAAATACTATGAAAAATACATTTAGTTTTGAGACACTAGGCAACACATAGGCGACTAAGCGCTCCCTTGTCGCCTAGGATCACCTTGGCGCCTTGAAAACTATGATTTCAAAATGCTATTTGTCCTCTCATTAAGCAATTTAAAAGCAGAATCAAGGTCAATTTAATCAAAATGATCCTACTTCCCAACAATATGTAGTTCTTTTTATAGAGTTCTAATTTCTCGGAGAACCATTCAATTACCACATCCAAAGAACCCAGAGATCTATGACCGAGATATCGTGGAACTCCTAAATATATAAATGGTCTTAAACTTCCACCAAAATGCTTCCATTCCCATGGAAATTGAAACTAAAAATACCTGGTCGAAGTTTAAGGAAAACTTCCACGACTTCTGATCAAATTTTGTTGGGTTTTAGTTAGATTGAAAATGCATGATTACAGACAAAATATGAAAGCATGCAAACTAAAATTTGTTAAAACATGGATTACCAAATATATGCAATACCATATTATCATCATTATATATATATATATAGTATTTTAAGTAATTCTTGAGTTAAGACATTTAAACAAAGGTATAAATGTGTATTGATATCTATCCCAACTTTCTTTGTAGGCTATTTACTACCTACTTCCATTCACTATTTACATAATGCATTAGTTCTATGCACCCCAATTTGATTGATCCCTATGAACACCCTGCCTAGCTAGGGAATCAGCTAGATTGTTTTCTTATCTGTGAGTCCAATACCAGTCCAAAACCATTCCCTAGATATCTGTTTGATTTCCCTTAAAGTGTGCCTTTGTAGCCAAGTCACAATACAGTTGTACTTCGGCCACCTCACCACATTTTTTGAATCCCCTTCAACCAATATATTCTACAAATTTAGACTCTCTTTTTATTCAAATTGAGTCACCTTCTCCTACAGGTCCTTGATATAGACAACAATAACTCCTGTTTTATATCTGAAGCATCCTCCAATTCACAATGGTTCCGGGTTACCAATGCAGCATTGTCAAAGTTCAGCTTGACCTAATTCCAATCTTGATGGACCCACACCATTGTGATCCTTGTTCTTGAGGTTGAAGAATTTGCAACAAGACTCCATCCTCTAAGAATATCATCCTTATAGAATGAGTCAAAGATCTCTAGAAACAACCCAAGTATGGCACGACCTTGACAGCAGCCTCCTTTGTTCTACTTTTCCGTTGAAATATCCTTGCATTTTTCTCC